GCCGTTGTGTTTGATATGGTCAAAGTATTTTACTTTCCGAGACAAGGTGTTTTCTATGAGACAATTTTCCTCAACATTCAAATTTTTCAGTATGTCAATATTTATTTGTTCTGTGGTTCATAGAAATCTAAGAATCATTTGTGGACCTCATTCAGCCGGTCCTCTACAGAATGTCGCTCTCTTTGCGGCATGTCTAAAAGTCTCGCTGTAGCTATTTCTCCAGCCCTGTGTGCTTTCATAGCCAATGCAGCTTCAACGTCTTGTGTCCACTTTCCAGGAAATCGCTCTCTTTGGGGCATGCCTAAAAGTCTCGCTGTAGCTATTTCTCCAGCCCTGTGTGCTTTCATAGCCAATGCAGCTTCAACGTCTTGTGTCCACTTTCCAGGAAATCGCTCTCTTTGGAGCATGCCTAAAAGTCTCGCTGTAGCTATTTCTCCAGCCCTGTGTGCTTTCATAGCCAATGCAGCTTCAACGTCTTGTGTCCACTTTCCAGGAAATCTCTCTCTTTGGGGCATGCCTAAAAGTCTCGCTCTAGATATTTCTCCAGCCCTGTGTGCTTTCATAGCCAATGCAGCTTCAACGTCTTGTGTCCACTTTCCAGGAAGTAGCTCTCTTTGGGGCATGCCTAAAAGTCTCGCTGTAACTATTTCTCCAGCCCTGTGTGCTTTCACAGCCAATGCAGCTTCAACGTCTTGTGTCCGCTTTCCAGCAAGTCGGCCTCTGGTTCATTTTCCAGAAACTGCACCCCCCCCCCCCCCCCCCTCAAATATTTTCTTGGTGTCGACACAGCTGGTATGAGGGAGTGAATAGATCAATGAGTCATGGGAGTCCGCAGTCAGTCAAAAACCGACAACACTAAACTCGTGGCTTTCCCAAGTGAGTTCTGTCTCCCTTTTTCCAGTAGTCAACGATGTTTCCATACGGATGGTGCCCATATGATAGTGTCATATTGTGCTATACTGAAGTATAAGAGTCCCAGGTTATGCTGATGGCGAGTGTGACTGGCAAGACCCACCTGTCTTTCACAATAATGGCATGAAAGTTCAGGATACTGTGGGAATACAAAACATTAAGAAAGAAGATAATAGTGTTCCATAATTAGGAATCATGATTTAGATGCAGACACCCAAAATGTATGTGTTTTGTAAAAGAATAGAAAACATGACTGGCGGAAAAAGAGTAAGAGGGTTACAAAGAGATAACTAACTGGATGTTGTGGTCATATGGGTGAAGGGGTGGGGACAAGGACACTGACCTGATCTGGGATTCTAATGATTATGTGGGTTGGCGAACCATGACTGTTTCTGCTTATTAGCAGGGCACATGATGTGATGATGATCAAATTATATAGGTGATTCCAACCAGATCATGTTGACTGCAGCTGCCTTCAAATCTTCTGGCCAATGTAAGAAGTAGGGAAGGAGGAAAAAGATAAAGAAGAACACAGAAGAAGAGAAAGACAAACAAGAAAAGGGAGTGGCAGGAAAAGAAACAAGAGGAAGAAAAGGAAGAAGAACACAGAATCAAAGAAGAAAATGCAGAAGACGTAGATAAAGAAGAAAATAACAACATGAGATATGAAGATTTCTTTACAGACAAATAATATTTCATTGTACCCTTTTTATTGAGTAAAATTAGGATAAATACAGAGACAACACAGCATGCACATTATGGCTAGTAGTCAGATGTCTTGAGCAACAACAACCCAAAAAAAAAAGCACAAATTACAGGCAAAATAAATACAACGCATGTATGTCAATGTCAGAGTTGCAAGATTAACATCATGAGTGTAAGGTTGATAAATGACTGTAATACTGCATAGCTAAAGCTGCCTCGGTGAAAACACCACAAATAATATTATGATTTTTGGTATTATGACAGTCGCTGTGTGAGTTCCCCAGAGTTCCCAAACTCCATTGTGTGTGAGGGAGAAAGTGGGTGGGGAATGAGAGAACAGACTCACTGTCCCTTGTAAGCATGTTGTAAAAGATAACTAATTAGGGATGTCTCCTCTAAAGTGGGAGTGTATGTGCCTGAGAGGTGGGGGGAAACAACAGTCTGCACACAAATAAGCCAGATTTGTAAAATGGATATGCATGCAAATACTTAGGTTCTGGAACAAGACTCAAGTCCAGAAGTAAATAAACAACCAGAACTTATTGCTGTAGTTTCATGCCAGTGAAGGCTAAGAACGAAAAAGAAGAAGAAGTTAAGACAGTAAAAGGAAACTGTGATGGATGACAAGCTAGATGGGGTCAATGCCCTTTGGGAACACGTGAACAACGTGGAAGTGTGAATAGATTATGGTGTGCAGAGAATGGAACAGACAATGGCGTGTGACCAGGAGATTTCACCAACACTTTATACTCAAGAGAAAGGCCAGACGGACAGGTAACCAGGTGGCCATTGGTACCATTGGAACTATATGCTCACCGCTGAAGATGAAGAAGCAGTGTGTATGGAAGCATCTTCAGTGTTGAAATGCCAGTTCTCCACTCCACTCAACTGTAGAAAGATCAACATTCCAAACATTCGGATCTATGCATGAGACATACATTAGCCGGCAATGATCAACACTCATCAACTTCAACCTGTTGTGCCCTTTACACATCATATAGGGCCTGAGACTGCTTACTCCATTCTCTTCTATCCTGTGCGATCTTTCTGATATCATAAATGGAATCCAATCCAACATTTTTGGCTTCTCTCCCCAATGTCTGTTGAAGGGCTTCTTCTGGACATCCTCACTTCACTCACAGATGAGAATTTACATATGTCTTCCCAAAATGAATGCCTTTCCCTTCCCCTGAAATTATTATAACTAGCTGCTGGTAATAAAAAACTACTAGTCTAAGACATGAATCCACATAACAGAATTTTTTTTTTTCAAAAGTGGCTGTGGCTCTTGGGTCAATCCAGTTAAAAATGAGTACCGTTACTGTGCTGGGAAGGAAGGCGGCCGGTATGATGCTGACTACTTCATCCACTGAGTAAAGTAGAAGACATTTTCCCATGCATTCAGGTCTATTAGGCATACAGGGCAAGACTTTTATTGACCAATCAGCACTCATGGGGTGATGTGGTTAACATCATGCCAGCCGTCTTGACTTCCCAGGATTTTATCTGGTACTCATTTAAGGCTGGGAGTCAAGGTCATTTCTGAAAAATAGCTCCGTCGGCACTTAATCCCACGAACTTCGAATCCGCAGGCGAGTATCTAGCAGCTACATCATGCTAAGCTCCATCACACTCTGAGTGCTTGTGGTCTATAAATATATAGATTTACCATTTTATGCCTGACATGACAAAGACATGGGGGGAAAAAGGGATTCATAAACTCTCAGAGAACTACGAAAGAGGTAATTTATAACATATTCAAAAATCATTAATGGTCCATAAAATGTCTATAAAAAATGAAACAAAAATTACACACATATTTTATGCAATATACTCTTGTATGTGATAAGTTTTACGTACAAAAAGTTAATGGTATATTGGAATTTGTACATACTATTTTTTGTAAATGTTGGAAGATGGGAAGATATGACTAATGGTCCAAATAATGATGCAAAAATTACATATAAATATAATACTTTTGATCGTCAGAATAGGAACAAAATATGCAAAGTTGTTCATTATGATAGCCCTTCATACCAGAAATTAAATACACAGCATGTTTTGTTAAAAAAAATTACAAGAAAAGCTGACTTGACTGAATCTACTACATTAGAAACAAGACACAGGAAAGAATGTTTGCTAACTAGGAACAATCAACCTTGAACTAGTCCAGTCTGATTGTAGGTTCAATCTAGCCTTATTTGGTAGAAAAGGGGGAAAACAAGAATAGACCCACTGCCTCTAACAAGCATGTCATAAAATACCGCTAATTAGGAGTGTGCTAAATATGGATTGTGAAGCCAAAAGGTGTAGATATCGCAGTCTAGCTGTAACCCACAATGCAATGTGCTAACTAATATTTTAAAAGCAAATGAAGAAGAAAAGGAAGAGGAGGAAGAAGAAGATAAAGAAGAAGAAGAATAAGGAGAAGAAGAAGAAGAAGAAGAAGAAGAAGAAGAAGAAGAAAGAGAAAGAAAATGAAAAAAAAACACATTTGGTAATCAACTTAACACTATTTAATTGTGGGAAATGTATCCTTCTAGAATGAGGGCTTATCCACTTTCACTGTATGACAATTACCCCCCAAAAAAAAGTATTAAAAAATTCGGAACAATAATAAACATGTAATAATGCACACAGGTAAGTCAGAAGTCACACAGGGCCTAAAGTTCCATTAACTCTTTGCTTAAATCAATTGTTTTTTATATTTGTATAGAACTGATAAAGAAGTACATCAAAATTAGCCAAGAAAAATATGCCAGAATAGATGATACAATTTGGGAAGTAGAATTATACATATATTTGAGGGAAGAATTAGTGACGGCGATGCCAAATTGCCACTGCCAACAGGATTCATCAACCCCTACTCCATATCTGGTTCAATTTTTTTTTAGGCGATCACACCTCTTAAACATCAAGCGCCATATTTTTTTGACAAAACCCCTTGTGATTTCTGGTTGCTGCTCAAGCGAGAACTGACAGAAATGGACCATATTTGAGTCATGAGACATCAGTGAAATGCAATGACCTAGCTGTACTCCATTACCGATGTGAATTTCCTGAAATGTTTCCAACAACGTAGGAGCGCCGGTAGCAATGTCTGCAGTTCCGTGGAGACTATCTTGAAGCGGTTTAGGTTTCCAGATCTCCAGCTGAATAATGGTCCCAGGTTAGACACTTTGTGGATAGACCTTGTCAACCATACATGATCTTACAGTTGTGCAACTTTAAAATAAAACCCCCAACAAATCTAGTAATGATTAAATACCGAATCCCCTTTATGACTCCAGACCAACCCTGTTGAACCATTGTAAAAAAGCACATACATATATAGTTGGCTTCAATAAAAAAGCAATCAATAAAATGGATGCTGCTTGCAAGGTTTACTTCTTCTTTTTAGTCATGGTGGAGGTGTGGCTTTGAACCTGCGCCTTCTGCTGAGCAAACAGGTTCATTTCATCCTCCAGGCGTTTCTTGCTCTCTTCCAGCTTTTGTTTTTCATCGGCATGCTGTTTCTTCAGGGCATCAAACCGATTGTGAAGCTGCAAAATATAGGTCATGTCATGGTCAGATATCTATATATACAATGTTAATTTGGCAAACTAGGGTCCTTAGTAGAAGCAGAGAAAAGTAACTGAATCCTGCCGAGCATGTTTGAGGAGACTAAAAGTGGGGGCTGGCTGCTTCATTCTGTTATGGATATATTTCTGTGAGATACCTCAGCTTACAGATAAGTGATTGTGAGCATTCTGGCTGGTAACTGTACAATTCTCCATTTGTGTCATATACAGCTGAAGGGCTTAGCATCAAATCAGCCTTTGCTGAAACAAGGAATAAAGATTATAAGAAGTAGACCTTATTGTGGGGGAAAAATACCAGCATATAGGTAGCACAAGAAAGGTAAAAAATTGAGCAGCAATGTTCACTTGTCATTCTGACTGGGGTATTTTGAAGTAGAATAGTTATATTTCTCATCTGGATTCAATATGTTTCATGACACTGTGTAGAGAGTTTCAGCTTCGGCTGCAAAAGCCATCCAAATATGTCATCCAATTATGAACATGTCTAGCACTTGTAATGATTTGGTTGAGGGACTGTTTTATTCAGGAATAACAGCCAAAAGCAATCGAATCAAGAGAATCTGAACAGACTCGGAATGAAAAGAAAGTTGCTTAAAGAAATAATAAAGAGGTAACTGAAAAAAAATGGTGGTTGGCACATTGTACTATGGCTTACAACGATTTCAGCAAACCGGTAATTCAATGCTGTTTTTTTTTTTTTTTTACATGCTTTTAATTATTAACCCTTTTTACCCAGAAGCTCTTTGGAACCAAAAAAAAAAAAAAAAGCTTTGAAAACAGGAACTCCTGGGGGAAATACTACCGGAAAAAAAAATACACACATCACTAATAGATTTTTTAAACATTTCTTTATATACATTCAACATAAAAAAAAAAAAATGAAATTAATGAAGGAATGTAATCAATAAACCTTGGACCTAAGAAATTTGTGATTGATACCATGACCTTGTTACCCCAGTTACTAAAGGTTAAGAGAGAACTGTGTATCATCATGGCTAAGAAAGCTAGGTTTTTTTTTTTTTTCAACAATAAAACTCATAAAAATGCTTATTTGTAGTTTAAAAAAAAAACACATACCTTTGCCCTCCTAAACAGTGTAGGCCCAAACAGAACCAATGTCACTAACTAGGCCTTACAGGGACTGGCCAATGCAGGTATGCCAGTTGAACGGCTTCTCAGGGATTAGTAATGGACAGATATGCTGGGTTTTCTGGGTCTCAGAGCTAGAGGTTTATGGGTGCAGTGGGTCTATTCTCGCCCCCCCCCCCCCCTGAACTCATCATCACTATCAAACTGATTTAATTTATAGTTATTTAATATTTGGGAAAAGGAAAAAAATCTGGCAGAAACAAACCCATCTTTCCACAGGAAATCAAACACTGACCTCCTTTTCTGCCTCTTTCAGCTCAGACTCCTTCTCCTTGACACGGATTACAAACATCTGCCTCATTTCATCTTCCTTCTTCTGCAGGTTGGTGATATGCTCCTGGCGCTTCTGTTCATAAGTCTCCGACAAGCTGCAAGTCAGAAATTATCATTAGTGGAAAACAAAACCAAACAACAAATACAGAAGAACTGGAAACACTGTTTGCAACAAATTACCTTTTAATTTAGGAGGAAGTGAAAGAAGGATAAGTAAGAAGAACAAGGAGGATAGTAAGGAGGAAGAGGAGAAGCAGAAAACAGATGCAGAAGGAAGATGGCAGAGAAGGAAAATATGTAGAAGAACAAAAATACATAAGAAAAAAATAAACACATATACAAAAGTAAATCCACATACAAAATATACACAGTCACTTACTTCAACATCCAAACAAAACAGTCAACACTCATATATCAACCATACCAAGAAAAAACCCAACTGTTACAGAAATTAATCAACACACAAAGACAAGCACATAATATTCAAAGTAAATTACTAACATACACACACACACACAATCTCAAAGAAAACAACACATATACACTGTCCTCCTGCCTCTCTACTTCTTTCTACGACAGCCAGTCAAGATATGTCTATCTGTTTATATTACAATTTCTACAGCCTCAAGAATTCCCAACCTGTTTATTTCTGCCCACATACATACACGGACCCTCACAGACAAAAACAATCAACGTACGCCAACCTACAAAGAAGCAAACGTTAACCCAACATACCTTTTAGTCTCCGAATCGGAGAACCCCATTTCCTCCAGCTTGCTGCGGCGATACCTCTCAAAATGAACAGAGTGGGTCACCTCTCTCAGGTCCTCCATGTTGGTCCGTATCAGCATTTCTCGCAGTTTCACAAAATCACAGTGGTTCTCATTTTCCACTGAAATTAGCCATTTAAAGACAATAAATGTTTCAGACCTAATTTTATTATATGTTTAAAAAAAAAAAGGCTATCCTCCGAATAACGGTCCCAAATTATCGAGGCTGGGAAAATACCCTAACAGGGCCTCAGTCGTATGTAAATTACAGACCTCTTTCCGGCGACTATACCGCCACCGCCAAGAGTATCCTCCGCTATGCGCAAAGCGGCGCGGAGGGGGCCTAAACTAGACGGCTAGACGGAACTCTCGACGGTTACTTTAACTTGGCCGAAGCTTTTCCGCGGTTTGCGGTATAGTCGCCGGAAAGCGGTCCGCAATTTACATATGACTGAGGCCCTGTTAGGGTATTTTCTTAGCCTCGATTTGGGACCGTTATTCGGAGGATAGCCAAAACAAATTATAAAGACATGCCTTCAGATGCACCGAGCATACAATGCTAAAACACATAATTTAAAACTCTCCTCAAATTATTAATGTTTTTTAAAATTGAAATATACATTTTTTAGATTGATTTTCACACCATCAACTGTATGGGGACTTTTGTTGTTGGCTACTGAGCAGGAGGCGGAGCACATATGGGAATGACCCGAGCTCAGTGATGTTATTTCCTGATGTATTCATTCAAAGTCAGACAATAGCATTTCCGACTTTCTTTCCTACATTCATAAACTAATGCTTCTGGCTTTTTTCTCTCACATTAATAATGTTTATACATACTTTTCTTATGTTAATAAATTAATATTTCTGATTAAGTCCTACGTTAATAAATTAACATTATCAGATTTACAGATTTCATATTAATAAATTATTGTCATCAGATTCAAAATTCTCATTTTAATTTAACCCTTTTTGCTTCAGAAATGGGGGAAGAGTAGTCACTAATAAATGTAGTAAAATATATTTCTATATACACCTATCATAAAAAATTAAAAAACATTTTATGAAGGAGAGTAGTCAATAAGCATGAACAGAATAGACAATTATAATTACTTTTTTTTGGGCCTAAACAGAAATGTATACGCTGACTCATAATGCCGTCTCGTCACCATGAGACTATTAACTCTTTGAGTCCCAGAGGGTTTAGCATCCCAGGCCCAAGGGGTAGTGAAAAGAAACTAAAATCGGCGCATCAAGCGTTTATTGGGCTTCTAGGCAGTAACCTATGAACGTATGATGCGTTCCTTGGGACTCAAAGAGTTAAAGTCTTAAGGCAAAATTATGACATTAAAAAAAAAAAAAACTTTCTGAAGAAAAATCTCAGTAAATACTATTTTTTTTTTAAAGTAAAAATAGTTGTACCTGGATTTCCTAAACATTGCATAGGACCAAACAGTATCAAAGCTGATATAAAGGCATGGCGGGAACTGGACGTTGTATTGCTGAAATAATGACTATTGGGCGAATCTGTCATGGATGGCAATGCCAAACTACCAGAGTCTTTGAATGAAAGGGATAACAAATGAACATTTAAAACTGACTCATTCACTCCACCGTTACCTTGAACTGTTCCCCATGGATACTGCCTGGCTTTGATCATCTTGTTTCCAACCTTGACCTCATCATTACTACCGACCACAGCAAAAGGGAGATGTTGCTGAAACAAAATATGCATCCAGGAAATCAAGCAAAGTTGTATGTAGGCATTACAATGTTTGAACATGTTTTAAAGATAACCTAGACCCAGTTAGCCCTGTGCTAAATGCTTGCCCTCTGGCCTAAAGTTTTTGGGTTCAAAGCTGCATTTTTATAAATGACTGCGACCAACAGGTTGATCCGGCATGAATTGGGACCAGGAAATGGCATGGGAAGTAAAAGCAGCAGGCATGATGTTCATTACATCACGAATCAATAAAATATGGGTGCAGCACCATATGCCTGAAGTGCTAATGAGATGAAAAGGTTATGTTACATTCATTGATGCATTTGTCTCAGAGATAAAGGTACTTACATTCATTGATGCACTGGTCCCAGAGATAAAGGTACTTACATTCAATGATGCATTGGTCTCAGAGATAAAGGTACTTACATTCTCTGATGCATTGGTCTCAGAGATAAAGGTACTTACATTCTTTGATGCATTGGTCCCAGAGATAAAAGTACTTATATTCATTGATGCACTGGTCTCAGAGATAAAGGTACTTACATTCTCTGATGCATTGGTCTCAGAGATAAAGGTACTTACATTCTCTGATGCATTGGTCCCAGAGATAAAGGTACTTACATTCATTGATGCATTGGTCCCAGAGATAAAGGTACTTACATTTATTCATGCATTGGTCTCAGAGATAAAGGTACTTACATTCATTCATGCATTGGTCCCAGAGATAAAGGTACTTACATTCTCTGATGCACTGGTCTCAGAGATAAAGGTACTTACATTCTCTGATGCATTGGTCCCAGAGATAAAAGTACTTACATTCATTGATGCATTGGTCTCAGAGATAAAGGTACTTACATTCATTGATGCATTGGTCTCAGAGATAAAGATACTTACAATCATTGATGCATTGGTCTCAGAGATAAAGGTACTTACATTCAATGATGCATTGGTCCCAGAGATAAAGGTACTTACATTCATTGATGCATTGGTCTCAGAGATAAAGGTACTTACATTCATTGATGCATTGGTCCCAGAGATAAAAGTACTTACATTCATTGATGCATTGGTCTCAGAGATAAAGGTACTTACATTCATTGATGCATTGGTCTCAGAGATAAAGGTACTTACATTCATTGATGCATTGGTCTCAGAGATAAAGGTACTTACATTCATTGATGCATTGGTCTCAGAGATAAAAGTACTTACATTCATTGATGCATTGGTCTCAGAGATAAAGGTACTTACATTCATTGATGCATTGGTCTCAGAGATAAAGGTACTTACATTCATTGATGCATTGGTCTCAGAGATAAAGGTACTTACATTCATTGATGCATTGGTCTCAGAGATAAAGGCACTTACATTCATTGATGCATTGGTCTCAGAGAAAAAAGTACTTACGTTCATTGATGCATTGGTCTCAGAGATAAAGGTACTTACATTCATTGATGCATTGGTCTCAGAGATAAAGGCACTTACATTCATTGATGCATTGGTCTCAGAGATAAAGGTACTTACATTCATTGATGCATTGGTCTCAGAGATAAAGGTACTTACATTCATTGATGCATTGGTCTCAGAGATAGTCTCATCATCTGTAGGGAACTGGTAAATGTGGACTCCATTAGACAACAGCTCAGACATCAACTGTAAAAAAAAAAAATCAAACAAACCAGTCAGTGAGAAAAAGGACTGTCTCAAAAAACAAAAGACTGTTTTTACTGCCTACAGATCACATCAGAAAGAGACAATCTACATTCTTTGGTCATGTGGTGAGAATGAGAAAACTAGAGTACATCATGACGGTAGGAAAGGTGGAGGAGAGGAGAGGCAGAGGAAGACTGAGAGGACAGATGCTGGACAGTTTGACATCAAAGCAAGCAGGATCATCTGTGTCAAAGTTGACTAAAAGTTTCATGAGACAGAAAGTTGTGGATAGACATGACTACCAACGCCACAATGCATGGACTTTAGGAAGGGGGTGAGGGAAGGGGGTGAACCTGAGGATTTATGGTCACATGGCTAGTGCAGCTGCCACGAACAATGCAGGTAGGACTTTTTATTTTTGTCCCCAACAGAAAAAAAAATCTCCATCCCTTTCTGTTTTCTCTGTGTAGGTGCACCTGATTTGGGATAACATGGGTTAAGCCCCACAGCTACTTGGTAAAAGTGTTTAAAAAAGTATATTTCCTGAGTTGGCGGGAGGGGGTAAGATCCATTGCCCCCCCCCCCTCCCCTCAACAATCATGGCATAAAAGGTGAATATTTAGTGGTTTTTCCGTTGAAATCGGAGTGCATCTGCCTGAGAGGCAAGAAACAAGCAGTCTGCACACAAATAAGCCAGATCTATAAAATGGATGCGCACAATAAACTCAAGACTGGAACAAAACAAAAGTCCAAAAGTAGAAAAACAACCAAAATTTTTCACCTAAGTTTACAGCCGGTGAATGATAAGAAGAAGGCATATGTCAAGAGTGTCAAGAGTAACCACTAAACATGTTGTGAGTTGATTAAAACTGAATAAGTCAAGTTAAAGTCCAGAGGATCAACAGCTTACAGTCACAGATCATGGTAAGCCCTGTTAAAATGAAAGGTCATATTGGGGCCCCAAGTATCCGTAAGTCTGGACCAGGCATAGAGGTGGTGATCAACATCACTACATCAGGTTTTATCCCATATGGTTTGATCTCTCTCCGCAGAACAGTTAGGAACAAAGCACTAACTCTGTAGCTCCAAAGACGACCCCCCAGGTATCTATGTAAAAACTGCACTTGTGAAATAAACTCATGACTTTCAGAACAAAACTTGACCACTGCCACAGAGACTCCCTACTGAATGTGTTGATAAGCCCTAGACTGTTTCACTCCACATCACCTCACCTTTGCTTTAAACTTGGTCAGCTCAGTCTTGGTGATGGTGTCGGCTTTGGCAATCACTGGGATGATGTTGACCTTTGTGTCCATCTGTTTCATGGTCATCAGGTCCAGGGCCTTCAACCTGCCATAAACCAGACATTTCAGGTTGAATGGTGTCACAAACAAATCTATTCTAATGAAGATCTAATAAGAAATAAGGGGGGGGGGCAACTTCATGCTGCCAGTGTCAAACTTGTACCCTTACTAAAAATCATAACTGACATAGGATGTCATAGAAGAGCTGCCGGGGTAGCAAGAAGAGACAACTCTAAACATGCAGAAATCAGAAGAAGACCAGGTCTGAAACCAGTCAAACAGTTTATGAAAGAACTACAGATTAGACTTTTTGGTCATTTGATGAGAATGCTCTGGTAGCAAGCAACTGCTTTAACTGCCTCAGAGAAACAGACCAAAGAAACAATGAATAGAGCAAGGGAAGACCGTGCAGAAGATGGAATGAGGGCATCAAGAACAGCTGAGGACCAACTTATACAGCTGAGTCTGGATAAGTAGAAGTTGCAGGGACCTAAGAAAATGCTTCCACTTATCACTCAGGATTTCTTCTTATCCAGACAGCATACACAATAGAAAAAATTTCCGCGACTAAGCTGTTCATGTCGACTTAACCTAAATTCGACTTATCCGAGTTAAGACTTAAGTGGACTCGACTGTACAACACACTGGAAAGAACATACAGTAGATCCTTACATCTCCCTCCAATATTTAGAGAAAGTCACTTGAGGAAGGAAGAGAAGAAGAAGATTCTGGTGTATTATGCATCTTCTTCTTCTTCTTCTTCTTTCTTGTGTGTTCACTGGCTGTAAACTCTGATGGAAAGATTTGGCTGTTCATCCACTTTGGGGTTTGAGTGCTGCATGCACATCCATTTTACACATCTGGCTTATTTGTATGCAGACTATTGGTCCCTTACCTCTCAGGCAGTCCAACTTTGAAGCCCCCAATTAGTGGACTCCTAAGACATACTTGTTAAGGAAGCAGTGGGTCTAATTTTGTTTTCCTTACAATGGGGCCCCGGAACCCTCATGTGGACTATGCACCAGTTAGTTCTGTTTTTGAGATGAAATGTTGGCAGTGGAAATTTCCATGACACTGGTAATGTGGAGGTTACTTGATGGCTGATATTGTAAACATCACATTTATCCCCTTTACTTCTCAGGTCATTTCCTGGTACATAATTTAGACTGGATCCTCCTGAAAGCCTTGGCCAGCTTATAAAAATTTGTTTCAATGAGGGTCTTCTCCAGAATTTTAGTCTGTAAGATTAACATCTCAAGGATGTAAATCTTCTTTTTCCTTGCATTCACTGGCTGTCAAAACCGGCAGAAAGTTCTGGTTGTTCGTCTACTTCTGGACTTTAGTCCTGTTTCAGAGCCTTAGTTTTGTATGCATATCTGTTTTTTCAGATCTGGTTTATTTGTATGCAGACTGTTGGTTCCTCTCAGGCAGATGCACTCCAACTTCTAAGGAAACATCAATGATTTTTTGCCGTTTACAGCTTGCTTATTTGAGGAGCTAGTGAACCTGTTACACCCCCCCCCCCCCCCCCCCCCCCCTTTTCGCCACACCTCACCTTTTCGCCATACCTCAGATAGGACCCCAGAGCCCACATGGGGGATGCCTAGTTCAACTGTGTAACAGTTATACTGGGGTCTCTGAAGGCTACTTAGTATCCTGAAGTCCGGATCAGGCAGTTTACTTTCTTTTAGCCAAGAACCAAAATCACAGAAATCAGGACATTTCCAAAAGAACTTCCTCAACTTCAGCAGCCAGCACAAAGTCCCAATTCTGACTGCACTGTTTAAACTAAACTAAACTCCTATGCAGAAAAATGCCACATAAAATGCATATCACTGTTGCATGTAAAAATTCAGCAGTACTGAACAAATCAACAGCTTGCACATGCAAGAATTGCAAAAGACCATTAGTATTACAATTCATTGTAATTCCTTTTATGTGCAGAGAAATTTTCCCAGAACTAATCTGACATATTTTCCCAGACTGTATCTATATTTATGGGCTGATATATTTTCCAAGATCTTTTCCAAGACTCTGGTGACTGTGAGAGATGAGGAACCACAGCCACTCATTCTTTTCATGCTGGCAGATGATGACGATGACAATGATGTGTCTACTTACGAGTGGCCAGTTGGAGCAATGAAATACAGGCACGCATGAACTCGGGTGTCATGGTAGGTGTGAAGCATTCTCTTGATCTTCAGCTCTTCATGCAGGTAAGCATCGAACTGAGCATCAATGTAGTCCACTATGGGCTTCCAGCTGAAAAGAGAGATAGATCCGTTTCATGATTACAAACAGTGACACATACAGCATGGTTTCAGGTGGATAACTACTGAACATAAAATAAGCTAGTACTTTCAGACAAAAATGCTGGGGTTGGTTCTACAACATCCTGTAAATGGTGTGCAACTAATATAACTTCAGCTGGATGCTTGTTGCTGATGTTTGTGATGTTAGCTTGAAGAACAGATGTCTGTGATGTTAGTGTGAAGAACAGATGTCTGTGATGTTAGTGTGAAGAACAGAGGTCTGTGATGTTAGTGTGAAGAACAGATGTCTGTGATGTTAGTGTGAAGAACAGATGTCTGTGATGTTAGCTTGAAGAACAGATGTCTGTGATGTTAGCTTGAAGAACAGATGTCTGTGATGTTAGCTTGAAGAACAGATGTCTGTGATGTTAGCTTGAAGAACAGATGTCTGTGATGTTAGCGTGAAGAACAGATGTCTGTGGTGTTAGCTTGAAGAACAGATGTCTGTGATGTTAGCTTGAAGAACATAACAGAATATTCTCTCACCTGCTGGTCCAGAAGCCTTGGTTTTTACTTGTTTTTTTGCTGGGTGTAATTGAAAAAGGAAAAAAAGGACCCTGCACCCCTCCCCCCCCCCCCCCCCCCCCCCCCCCATTTTTCCAATAATAAATATTTAAAAAAAAAATGATAGTCTAGCACATGATATACCAGATGCGCCAACAACCTAAACAGGGTCCTTACTGCAATTTAACTGAAGAATAGACTAGAATACCTTCTGTCTTCTTCTGTCACAAATCATAAATACTAATTTCTAGCACATGTCCCAATAGCTCCTCTTTCAAAATGTACATTATGTATTCCCTCTGATGCTTGCTGCCTTTCCTTGAGAACCCAGACAGTGGTTTTCAAGGAACTCAGCAACAATAAACATTTTATATGACCTAACAAAAATGAGCTTTCAGCTCCTGACAGTTGCAACTTTAACTCACTCTGTCCCAACTACTTTCAATTATCCCCTCCCAAATGTTACTTAATTCCTTCATTTTAGTTATTTCTCACAATCTTCCTGACGCAAGGTGATATTATTTTACAGTCATACTGCTCAGGTATAAATGACTTAAAACAACATTCACATGTAAACAAGCTATCATCATTATCATCCTGTTGGTGCCATTATAGGAGACACGAGGCTCATAGTTTGTTTCTCCATTTTATTCTATCATGTGCAATAGTTTCAATCAAGCCCCTTCTATGCAAGTTCATCTTATGGTTTCTCTTGGTCCTCCTCGTTTCCTCAATTGATTTGTTTCTCTTTTCAGCACCTTTTTATTGTTATATTTTAAAAACATATTCTTTTTTTGCTTGATCACCAGCTGTAAGCTCTAGCGGAAAGTTCTGGTTGTTCATCCACTTCTGAAATGATGTCTTTTTCCAGAACCTGAGTGTTGCGTGCACATTCGTTTTGAAGATCTGAATCACTTGTATGTAGACTGTTGTTTCCTTGCCTCTCAGGCAGGTGCACTCCGACTTCACAAGAAGCTCCTAATCAGTCAACTCTACTTCATGCTTTTGGGTAGGCAGTGGTTTTATTCTTATCCCCCCCCCCCCCCCCAATAGGGCCTCAGAACCCACATGGGGAAACCAGTTGTTAAGACATTTCTATTTCTTCACAATTTTTTACTTCATACCATTTAATGTTCATCTATTTTCTTGGGCATTTGTTTTCGAATATATATAATTGTTTTGGTTTCAGGTCTATCAAGGTTCTTTAACTTTCACTAGCATAAGTTAAAACTCAAACATATAAAGATTAAAAAAAAATACACAAGTTGGTACAAACTACAGTAAAACCTTGATACCATGACCTTGCTTAAGAACATTTACTTAACATGAACAAAATGTGGGTCTCTTTAGGAATGTATTAATCTGAGTCCTGGGTTCTAAAATAAATTGTTGACACAAACTCTTGCTTTTCTGGCTCCTTGGAATTTATATTAACAAGGTTTTACTATATTTATTATACAGGAAGTTTATTTATTAATCATGTGGATAAATGAAAGATTTCTCTAAAATCTGGAATAAACAAATGGTTATTTATTGGTGCTTACAGTGTAAGAAAGACACATGCTTGAGGACTATATAAATAAGAATGAGATAAGTGTTATTATGCTTTCATGCACTGACAGTGAAACCATTTTACAACATATAAAATTATTATTACATAAAAATGAGTTCAGAAAAAGAAACTGAACTCTAAACAAACAAAAGGTTTCTGTAAGTAGAGTAAGGGAGCCACCATGGTGTAGCAGCTAGATACTCCTGCAGATCTGAAGGTTGTGGGTTCAGGTCCTGACAGAGCCAGGCTTTGAAAGAAAATTACCTTGGCCCAGGTCAATTCAGCCTTACCTGGGTACCAGGTAAAGTCCTGGGAAGTAAATGCGACTGGCTTGTCTATAAAATTTACGCCTAGCCCTATGTGCCCAATAAGTCTAAAGCCATGGAAAAAAGTCCTTTACTGTAAGTAGAGTAAAATAATTTATAAACAAATGAACTGCTAAAGTTAAGTACAAGAGCCACTGTTCATGCCTGCATGCATACTGGGTACATAGTTCCATATTCTTACAGACCCAATCAGTGCTCAAAAGCTGACGTGCTCAATATTTCACCCTCTGCTATTCTTTCTTGAAATTTTTCTCGGAATATTTAGACTGAGCCAGCCTGGGAGTCAAGGTTAATATTTAAATAATCTCTCCTGCCCAAAGGAGAAGCAGGAGCTGTGGTAGCATAGCTGCTAGATCAGGGCTATTCAACTAAATTTGATCAGGGGACAAAATTTTGAAAATGGGTATCGCCATGCGCAAGAGTCTCATGCCCCAGCATAAACAGCTCATTAATGTAGTACAACTGACAATGATCCGCGGACCACTTGCTATGCCTTTGCGGGCCAGATTTGGCAGCAGGCCGCAAAATCAATAGCCCTGTGCTAGATAATTGACTGCTGACTCAAAGGTCCTTGTGTGTGAACCCACAAAGAGAGATATTGTTTTAAGAACCGGTGTTGGCTCCCAGGTCGATCTAGAGATAATGTTCTAGGAAGTAAAAGCGACTAGCTTGATGCTGACAACATCACCCATCTGGTCTAGAAAGCTATATGTTTGCCTGCTGGCAAGAAGGTCTTTGGGTTTGAACCAGCAGAGTCCGCAGAGAGTTGCCTTTTTTCAGAACTGGCACTGGCTCCCAGGCTAATCCAGAGATAATGTCTTGGGAAGTAAAGGCAACCATTGTCTATAAAAATATGAGTACAGCATCATATGTTAGATACGCCAACTGGCATAATATTGGTTCTCCAACTCGTTTCCTTTACAAGAGAGAACATGTAACCACTGAGTCAGCAAGCACCACAAGTACTGTTTGTTAGATATCCATTAAACAATACAGACAATCCTGGGGGGAAACACAGATACAAAGAAACATATGAGATAAATTACAATGTGTGTGTGCTGAAGGTTTAAAATTAAACTTTGCTAAAACTACACAAAAACACTGTTTGCCTAAATGAATTTATCAAATTACACTATTTGCTGAAGAAATTAAAACTATAAAAATGGGAAGGCTGAAGGAAATAAAAACCACGCAAATTACAGTTTGCTAAAGGAAATAAAACTAGAAATACAACTATACAACTGCCAGTTTGCTGAAGAGAATAAAACTATACAAATAATAGTTTGCTCAGGGAAAGCAAACTATACAAATGATAGTTTGCTGAAGGAAGTAAAACTATATGATTGAGAAGGAAGTAAAACTATACAAATGATAGTTTGCTAAAGGAAATCAAACTATAAGATTGATAGTTTGCTGAAAGAAATAGAACTATACAAATGACAGGTAATAAAACTATTAATCATTCAAACAACACTGTTGTCTGTAGGAAATAAGGCTTTTTAGATAATACTGCTTGCCTAAAATGACACTTTATTGAAGGATGTAAGTCTGTTAATCATATATTGATGGATGTAAGTCTTTTAACCAAATTACTGGCCACAAACACCTCTTTCCTACCTTACAGATAGTGTTATTTTATGTGAGCCACCTTTATACTAACACTGATGTGAAGCTGAGAAGTTCATTTGGTAATTCATCAAAGAAATAGAACCAAAAGACTGGCTGACAACCTTGTGGTGCAAACTGAACAGACAACAAACATGCACAACTGAGGCATCTATGCAGGCAAATGGACATTAAGATCACATTGGGAGATGCCAAGGTTTAATAGTCTAAAATGAGATTTGCTGGAAGTTTAAAAAAAAAAAAGGCATCACACTCTGAGGCACATCTGGCATATGGTGCAACCTCCATTTTGTTTTTTTAACAAACAAACTGGCGCTTGGGTAATAAGGTCAATATACTCTAAATAAAGCTAGAGCCTTTTTTCAAATTCACCCAGTGCAGGGTCAAACCCAAGACCTCTGGGCCAGAGGCAACAAAATCTATAATATTCCTCAAATTAACATCATAACCATCATGCTAGCCTCCTTTACTTTCTCATGACATTCCCTGGTACTCATTTCAAGCTGGGCAGACCTAAGAACCTGTCAATATTTGAATATCTGTGCTGATGTGAATTTGAACCCTATGACCAAAGCAGTAAAGCTACCCACAAAAGAATATCTGCAGCATGCACATTTTCTATATGAATATTGAAGTCAAAGGGAAACCACAACAGCAATTTTCAAAGGATAAGTGTAGGGTAAAAAATAAAGCTAGATTTATCATGCAGTGTATGCTAAAAATGGGATGCATTAATTATAACTGACTTTAGCTCACATGTTAACCCAGTAATAAAATAGGTACTGAGAAATGTAATGGGAAGTAAAAGTGGGCAGCAAAATGCTAACCCCCATCCTTCATTGAGTGCCGACTGAACAGATAAAGCTAAAAATCTAGCATCATTTACCAAATATGCTACTAGAGTCTGAAAAGTGTCCTTTGCTAACATGCTTTAAAAAACAATCACACACAAAACTCTCTGGACTGAGTTACCAGCTTGTGATCAAGGCAGGTGGGATGGGGGAGCTCTTTTAAAAGAATATCGACTCAGTTTGGAGAAAGCTGAAAGGAATCCAGATCGTCAATGTGCCTCCCTTCACCTAGGAAAATCTCCTGAGCTGGCAACTGGTTGTTAGAACCTTGTACAATATAGGAAGGACAGTAGAAGTGGTAAAGGAAATTAAGGGAGCTAGACAGTGAAGCTAAAATGATGTGGAGTATACAGGGTGAGCTGCATGCAATAGTAAAGTATAGGACAACTGGGTTAAACTGGTCGAGGGCCTAATGCAAGATGGTGGTCTGATGCCAAATGGACCTCCAGTTGAAATCAATGCAGGCTGCTCGGAATTACGGAAGAGAACTCTATATAAAAGTTAAAAAATCTCACAACATCAAGCAAATATATTAAACATCAAACAGCTACACGAACTGCAAACAACAACTCTAACAGCAAACAGCTACAATATCAAAGTCTGCTAGGCCAGCCTCACCTATCATCTTTGTTAATCTGATCCCCAAACCCCACAGAGTCCACCAGAGTCAGTTTTAGCAGGACATTCTTCTCCCTCAGTTCTGATGCAGGACACGAGTGAGGGGGAACACAAGCAAGACATTAAAGAAACATCAAGGACGGACAAGGTGGAGGGATGTCACAATCAGGTGGACCAGGGCAAGGGAGAGAAAAGGAAAAACGATTATAAATATGATGTAATTTAAATTATTATTATACAATATTTAAGTTTTGTTAGAATATATATCAGAAGCAAAACTATAAATATAAAGGCAACACCCAAATAGGGTAGATGCCTGCAGAGAGATCACAAGCTAAAATTAGGGTCTAGGGATGGGTGATGGAGGTTTTTCTGTTTCAATGAATACAAAATTATTGAAATTTTTTTTACAATGTACTTTTATATTTATTTCTTACCATAAAAAGAGGAGAAGGATCATGAGACAGACCAAGAACAGGATGGAAAGATAACAGAAGAGCAAGAAGCAGAACTTATATCTCCTCGACACCTAAAGTGGTAAAAGAGCAAGTTAAGAAGAAGAAGAAGCAATAGACTTTTTTCACAAGAAATCAATGTAGAAGACAGTGGTAAGGTATTAACTACTTTCTCAAGTATAAATGGGTGGACAGTGACAATGCCAGATATATGCTCAAAACACTTGTGTCCTTATCCTTGGGAGAGAAAAAGCAACCTGATAACTTAATATTCTGGTACTGGTTGGCAGCTGGTTTAACAAGATTTAACATAAATCCCAAGGCAGAGTCATATGAAGCAATAGACTCTTTCATAACGCTGTACTTTCTTTCCGATAAATATTATAGAAATCTCTGGTACTTGTTTTGTAAGACTGACCAAGTTCAAAACCTTGCATATCTTTTCCCTGTGTGGATTCCAGGGCTTCAGTTTTGTGGAAAGGGGGGTGGGGGGGGGAGGATTCACAACTCCCTAATAAGCATGTATAGGACCAAAAGGAGCTATCACAGCTTAGCCAAAACACAATGTACCAGCTGCCCTTTTACGAGTGAATGCAGACAAAGAAAAACTGAACATACCATCACATATACTGAAATGGGTCATGTTATCACTATGCAGGTGTAGACAGGGTAACAGACAGCCAAACATACTCTGCAAGTCTGCCACATACTCCAGCTGTGGTCTGAACACAGGCAAAACCAGATAAACATCCGGGGGAAGAAATACAAATTTTGAGTCTCAATGAGATCTTAAATATACCACCATATTTCCCAAAAACCTCTGGTGGAGAAAAACTTAGGGTAGGATACTAGCCTTATCCCAGGATGGAGAAATGCAATCTAGAAATATAATACTATGATGGCCAGGCAGACTAGGTCTGTAATCTCAGCTAGCAGCTGGCCTGAGAGGGAAGCTCTGACAGGTGGACAGACAGAGCACTAGTCTTCTGATTTGGCAGCTTCTGCATCATGCTTTGTCCAAACATACTGGTGTTGCCTCTCCTTTAGAGTTAACAAAGCAGACTGAGAGGGATATGACAGACAAAACATGGTTTCGACAATACTGGCCAGGCTTTGTGCAACGGAGAGAAGGAACTTCATAGTTGATTTTAATTGGTATCCCCATGGGATGCAATTCCTATGCCAGCCTTGGAATACAATGGAACACTATTAACAGGAAAGACAGAAAGGTGCCAACGAAAGACCAAAAGAACCCCTAAAACCAAACTTACTGTTTTGCCATTAACAGTATAGCAGCATACGACAAGAAGAAGAAGAAGAAAAAGAAGAAGAAGAAAAGGATGGGGGAGGAAGAGAAGAAGCATACTAATTTTAATAATGGGTAGGAGCTCTGATTCTCTGCAAGCAAGCCATGTGTCCCCACCTAGGTGTTACCAAGAAGGGGAGATAACCTTACCTATGATCCTTATTAATCTGATCCCCAAAGCCTGTGGTGTCTACAATTGTTAATTTCAAGTGTACACTTCCCTCACACAGATCTGAAAATTGTTGCCCTTCGTTAAAATGCTATCAAAACCTGAAAATGTTTAATACGATGTTATCATTAATTCAGGTGATCTCCATGGCGAAATGGTCAAGCCGACTGCCTCGTGCTCAAAAGGTCATGGGTTCGTTTCACGGTGGCGCCATTCAGTTCACGAGTGCAATTTTACAGAAATCTCTGGGGATCGTCATCGGAGCTATGTTCTTGTTTAATCTCTCTTCTTCTATCCTGAAGTGTAGATAACACTGCGGTTTTGTGGATAATACATCTTGTGACAATGGGGGTTCTAAAGTGATAATCCACGAGCCGTCACTGATAGATGGTGTGCAGAAGTCTCTTATAGTCTAGTTTAACCTTTAATTTTCATTCTTCTTCATCTTCTGCGTTTATCCGAACATGTGCCAATTTACAGCAAGGCTGCGATATCTGGGCCTTTATACTGACATGTCCAACTAATGCTGGCATTTATTATGCAGTTTAGCCTTCCCGGATCTTTCATATTCTGTTCTTAGATGCAGGTGCATCTTATGATCTTATTCAGTCTTTTCTATCACACTCTGGAAGTATAGCGGCATCTTACAGTCTTGTTGAATCTTTCTTTTTCTACCGTTGTTATAATGCATGTTCTTTGTTCAGTGTGTCTGTTTCTAATGTAGTGTAGAGGCAATTTTTGCTCTTCTACCCGGTAGTGTTTTAGTACTGTAATTATTCTCTGGCTTTAATGCACCTGTCAACCCAAAACAAATGAGACTATAATGGTAGAAGATAGGCACTATACTTATATTTAACCCACTGACTACCAGCGTCGCACGTAATGCGACGAGGCGACATTTACTTCCTTCTGCCAACGTCACACCTTTTGCGATTTTAGCTTTGAACGCTCGCCGTCATGTTAAAATCACGATTTTTATGATGGATTTAGTTGAAACCTCTAGCTTATTCATTTCTGTATGGTTAATTAAGGGAAATAACTCCGTAGTGCTTGAAGTAAATATTTGACGAATTTTTTTAGTTAGCTCCCATGACGGTGAGACATTGGCGAAAAATTCATCATGGCGTCAAATTATCGGAACCATCGTAGTGGCCATATCTCTCCTAATTTTTCTAATGATGCATTCGATTTTCTTGATTTTGCTTCAAAAAGTGAATTTGAAGACACTTCTGAACAGTTTGATGGCTATGACTATAATAAATTTAACGAAGTGCCATTCAAAACATCGTCAACTGTAAAACGACAGCATGAAGCTTCGAAGTCAAGTCTGACAAAGACAGTCACAGTGTTGTTGGCTGCAAGTACTGGTGCCGCAGTTTATGATGCTGATAGTTCTTGTAAGAGTATTCAATCAAAGCCCACAGATTATAAAGATTTTGTGCGTGAGTCTGCACATGACGAAGATATCATTGCCGCTTTTGATTCAGAATCATCATCATCTGACGAGTCCGGGGAAGATGTGCCACGCCCCCTCCCCCCAATGGTTGATGACTGGCATTGTGATTTAGAAGGCTTTCCTGGAGTACCCCCATTTACTGGCACTTTTGGTTTATTTCTGCCAGCAGGAACAAATGAACCACTGAATATTTTCTTCAGTAAAGAAATTCTGGCTGTGTTTGCTAAAGAAACAAACCGTTATGCTGAGGTAAAGATTGGTGCGAAACCAGACACCTGTTTTCCCAAGAACTGGAAACACACAACCCCAAATTAAGTAACATGATTTCTTGTACTGTTGCGTCACATGTGTTGTGAAAAAGCCGTCTATTTCAGACTACAGGAGTCTTTATCCATCTATCCACTCATCATTTGCTGCCACCATCACGTCACGGGGGCGTTTTCTATATATGGCTGTCAGATAACAAATTTGTCTGTTGCCTTTTTAGCACCATATCTACAGCCACATGATGATGATATAAAACAGTAAATCTACATATGTCTTGATATTTGTTATCTATTTAATTTGGTGCAAACAATATCAGATAGGATAAGTGATATTGAACAGTTGTGAAGCTGTGACATTTTTTGGGAGTCTGAATTATTGTCAGATAAAGGATTTTTCAGTTGCCTTTTTTGCAACAATCTACAGCCACATGATGATGATGATTATGTCAGACAAAGTAAACCCCATTTTTTGTCTTCACATTGTTCTCAGTTCAATTTTGTGCAAAAATACAAAATGTAATAAATGTTTGTTGAATATTTTTGAAAAAAAATCATCACTATCAGTCTTTATTGTTGTCAGATAAAAGATTTTCAGTTGCCTTTTTTGCAACAATCTACAGCCACATGATGATGATGACTATGTCAGAGTAAACCTTATTTTTATTTTCCTTAAATGGGTTCTTGGTTTAATTTTGTGCAAAAAATACAAAATATTATACATTTTTTGTTAAATATTTTTTGAAAATAAGACATTTTTATTAGTCTTTATTGTTGTAGATAAAAGATTTTTCGGTTGCCTTTTTTGCACTTCTACAGCCACATGCAAAACAAAATAAACAACTTTTTTTTTCTTGAAATTTGTTCTTCCAGTTTGGTGTAAAAATACAAAATATTGTGAGATTTTATCAAATAGTTGTGAAAGCTATGGCATTTTTAGTACACACTAAAATATGGTTAAATGCAAAGTCAAAAAAAAAAATAGGATATGGTAACAGACATCATGAAATTCAATTAAAATACATAGGAATGAATGTGTGTATGTGTATGTGTGTGTTTTGAGAGAGAGAGAGAGAGAGAGAGAGAGAGAGAGAGAGAGAGAGAGAGAGAGAGAGACAGAGAGAGAGACAGAGAGAGAGAGAGAGAGAGCAGAGACAGAAGGGGGAAGAGGAAGACATTCTGCCTTATAGCCTCCACTGCAGCATAGGCACTCAACAAAGTCATGCCAAGTCATCCAATATTTTGCCATCTCCTGTAGTTCTCTCCAGGTCTTCAACAAATCTCTATCTATATAAAGTCACACCATTTTTTATTTTTGCAACTAATTGAATGAAGAACAAATTTAAAAAATAAAAACTGCGTAATCTTATTTGACTTCATCATGTGACTGTCGACTGGTGTTAAAATGGCAACTGAAATATAATTTTTTTTCTTTCTGAAAGTAATTTAGACAACAAAATTCCATTGCCTCACAACAATTTAACATAAACATAATACTTTGCTTTTTTTGGGGGGTATCAAACTGAATAGAGAACAATCTACAACAATATAAACAAAAATTTTGTAATCATAATGTGTGTGTGGATTAACTCAAAAAAGGGTAACCAAAACTTCTATCTGACACCGATTTACATTTTTTTGTTTTTGGCTGAAATATCTGGATGAGAGATAAGCCTAATTGTTAAATAGAATTCTGCAAATTCATTGGCTGTTTGCCATTTTGCACCAAGAACTTCTGATACAGTATTAAATACAGTAACTGATTTGTCAAACTCAAAAAAGCCGCAAAAGACTATTCTATTTTTTCTCGACATTAAAAAAAACCAAAATTTTCTTGTGGCGGTCAGTCAGCAGTTCGAGAGTCACACTGTGGAAACAGATATTCCAGCCTCACCATATAAAATTCCCAAAGACAGCAGTGGGTGCAGTGTGGCCAACCTTCAATGTGGAGACGATATATAAATTGTATTTTCTACTTGTTCTGCGCTGCGATTTCTGGTCTAAGATTGCAGGTTTAACACTGGAAGATGGAAAGACAGAAGCGGATGAAGTAGGGAATGAATTATGTTGGAGGTTATACTCTAGACAAAATTGCTGTAGGAAAAAAAAAAAGATACTAAACATATAAATATGTCAGTGACTGAATGAAAAACATCACTAAAGAATACATTAGAGCAGAGACATGATCAGGGTAGCAGAAGAAAACTTTCAATGCAAAAAAAAAAAATCTGAAACCGATTTGACTGCTCCAGGTGGACAGACACCACAGAATACTGAACACGCGCTACAGACTTGCTCTCTACATGCAGTAGAGATGATCTCAGGTTTGGCCGGTTGGCATTCCAATGGAAACCAAGCTGTATGGAGCTGTGGAAGACATGAATCACATCACAGACTTCATAGAGGCCTGGCGCCTTCTCCTATGGAAACTACTGGCAGGGAGAACAAACAGAAGAAGAAGACTGCTCTGCATTATCCTACATGATTCAGCCCCTCTCCACAGAATAGCAAGCCTCCCGTCCAGAGTCACCTAAGCAAGAGCTCCAGAGCAAGCTTTAGCGATCTGAAATGTATTGCTGCTCACTTCCAGATTTGTGTAATTAGCGACTGAAAACCGGTCAAAATGGACAACAGGCACGGTCACTGTTTCGCGTTGAGGCAAATTTTTTGTTTTTGTTTTTTTTGCTTCTGCCAGACGGTGGACGTTGCATTTTTGATCCATTTTTAGACTGAAAGGATATAGTTTCATCGCCCAGCTACTGAGTTAAGTGCATGGTGCGATCATGTGAGCTGCGGATTTCATTAGGAATGTTTTTCGACTGTGACCAACGTGGTGTTGTAAACTATAGATTCAGAAAATGGCATGTGGCCTGTCATCGCAATATTGGTGGTGCCATTATGTGATAAAAATTAATCGCGTGTGCAATTGCTGATCTGTTGGTGACATCTGTTACTATCCATGATGAACTGCATTTCTAATGTCTGACTGTTTGTGTTAGCACTTCTTATGGCTACCGTATGCTTTAATGCGTGTGTATGCTAGTGCATATGCTGTGACAGCAGTCTGTCAATCTTTCCACAAGGGACTGTGACGAAAATTCTGTGTTTTTTTCGTTGGCACAGGAGCGGAGCAACTATGGGGTGACCCGTTTGCTATGAAGCTGAAACTAATATTACCAAGATATAATTAGCAAGTAACAAGTCTAAAATAATTTATTTCTTCTTCCTTAGTCGGATGCTGAGTGGTCTCGAGGCATGTAAAAAATCCCTTGACAGTTGGAAATTGAAAAGAGTAGCCTAATGGCACTGCCCGGGCAAAATTTGGAGTTAAAAATCTACCCAAAGTATTTCAGGATCCTCGCTGTTGCTAGAGTTCATGCACTGCGCTGAGATTCTTTGGATTCAAGCTTGAGTTAGAAGTAGAACGGAGCACTTAAAGGTTACTACCCTTGTGCCATGATGTTGATCTGCTGTATAAAACCTTCTTCCTCAGTTTTCGTCCATAGCAAGGCAGTTGTCATATTATGTTGTCATTTACATAAAGGCTGCATTATCTATGCCTTTTTTGACCTAACACATCTGATTTCAGAGTCTTTGATTAATCACTTTTTATGACACGCTTGTTAAGGGATACTTGGTCAGTTCTTTTTCCACAACATAGAGTTACATACCCTACACAGAAAAAACAATGATTTTATATGAAGAAGAAAATAGAATCAGAAATGTCAAAAGCACAAACATGCTATGTACTTGTATTTCTTACCATAGGTATGAGCTTTGAGCTTCACGCCAGGCAGATCATGAGTGCTCGGTGTAGAGTCAAAATTGGTGTTGAAAAGTGTGTCCATCATTGTGGATTTACCAATGCCAGTTTCACCTAGAAATCAGTAACAAAAATATGATAAGGCCATATTGAAACAATGAAATTTGCAATGAACAAAGCAAAATATAGTCAGTCACATTTTTTTTCTAATTCTTTCTTCTTCTTAACATTTAGCGGCTGTAAACCTCAGAAGAAAGTTCTGGTTGTTCATACACTTGTGGACTTTGGTCTTGTGGGGTCTAATCCTCCTCCTCCACCCCTCCCCACCAATGGGGACCTCAAACCCACAAAGAGAAGTCACATTCACAAGGATGCATTTCTTTTTAAATTTACCTACAGTTCAAGACCAGACCCAGGCTAAAATGGGGACAAGGAAGTGTTCCGGAGGTAAAGGTGGCCAGTGTGATGTTGACCGCAGCAACCATTGAATGTTGATTGGTCCAGACAAATATGGGACTACTGCCATATGCCCAGAGGTATGAAAAGGGTCATTTACTTTTCTTAGCTTTTAATTTTGAGGAAGAAAAATCCTAAAGGCTGAAATGTTGGAATTATCTGAGGTTAATTGGTCTTTGTCAGAGATGTTGTTTTACAGACACATGATGAGAACATCCTGGACAGATAAGAAGAGCAATGCAAATGTCTTGAAAGAAACTGACTCACAAAGAATGCCCACATCAGAAGAAGAAAACTGGTGTATATTGTGACGTTGGAAAAGTTAGAGGGAAAAAAAAGGTAAAGGGAGAAAGAGAGAGAGAGATGCTGGACAGTTTGACATCATAGCATAGCATGTCAGAAGTGACTGAAAGTACATGAGACTGAAGGTTGTAAAAAGACATGGTTATTAACTATAATAATAACTGGTCTCTATTAGCAAATAAAAACAGTCTGAACATTCAACTGAATTTTAGTTATACACATAGACAGCACAAATTTATTATTATATATATATATATATATATATATATATATATATATATATATATATATATATATATATATATATATATATATATACATACATAGACACACACATATATATATAAGTGAATGTCTTCTTCTTCTTAGCCGCAAACAGCTGTAAACTCTGGCAGAAAATCCTGGTTGTTTGTCCAGAATCTGAGTTTTGCAAGTACACCTATTTAACAGATCTGGCTTATCTGAGTGTAGACTGTTAGTTGCTCGTCCCTCAGGAAGATGCACTTTGAAGGAAACATATCTTCTTCTTCTTCTGCCTTTCTATCCCCCAATGGAGCATAGGCCCTCAACCAACTCACGCCAAGTCGTTCTATCCTTCGCCATTGCATGGAGCTCTCCCCATGTCCTCCCAATCTTTCTAGCCTCGTTCTCCAGCTCTCTTCTCCATGTGTTTTTTGGCCTTCCTTTATTCCTATGCCCCTGTGGGTTCCAATGCAAAGACATTCTAGCAATGCTGTTCTCCTTTTTCTCAGTGTGTGCCCTATCCAACGCTAGCGTCTTTTCCTCACTTCCTGATCCACTGGAGCCTGTTTAGTTCTCTCCAAAAGTTCTACATTAGTTATTCTATCATACCATTTTATTCCCTCTATTCTGCGCAGGCACCAGTTAATGAATGTCTGTAATTTATTAGCAATTGCCTTGGTTGTTCTCCATGTTTCCGCCCCATACAATAGTACTGATTTGACATAAGAATTAAAAATGTTTAGTTTAGTATTTCTTTTAATTTCTTTTGACCTCCACAAATTCCCTAGTGCTATGAAAGCCCCTCTTGCCTTTTGTATTCTTATTTTAATATCTCTATCAATTCCTCCATCTTCATCTACATTACTGCCCAAATAGGTGTACGACTCCACGTCTTGGAGTGGGGTGCCATTAAGAGAAACCACATTACTATTTGCCTGATTTATTCTCATTATCTTTGTCTTTCCTTTATGGATTTTCAGACCAAGCTGCTGTGATCTCGCATTAAGTATATTTAATTTATCTTGCATCTGATTCCGTGAATGGGACAGAAGAGCAATATCATCAGCGAAGTCCAGATCATCAAGCTGTTTTGTAGGGGTCCGCTAAATTCCATTCTTGGTGTTTTCATAGCCCAGTCTATAGCCAGTAAAAATAAGAGAGGCGACAAAAGACATCCCTGTCGCACACCTGTTTTTTTTTCAAATGCATCTGTTAGCTTTCCCTCATGAAGAACTCGACATTTCATGTCTTTATATGTTGCCTTTACTAAGTAGATAATTTTCTGTGTGATTCCATAGTGCCCCATCAATTTCCAGAGAGATTCCCTATCTATGCTGTCAATTGCTTTTTCATAGTCTATAAATCAAATGTAAAGTGGTGAGTTCAGTTCAATGCTTTGCTCTATTATAATACGTAATGTGGCTATCTGATCAGTACAGGATCTGTTTGACCGAAAACCTGCCTGCTCATCTCTTAGCATTTTATCAATAGCATCTTTTAATCTTTCCAAAATAATTCTACTTAATATTTTTCCAGGAACTGAAGTCTGGGAACTAGAAACAGGTATAACCGAATATGTGAGTTAATTTTTTTTTTTTAAAGTAAAGGACCCATTTTTAAAACTTAGAGGCCTATAGTACCCATCAAAGATGCAAACAGCGGTGAATGGAGAGTGAGAAGCAACAACAAAATTCATAATCTGTTTAAATCACCACTGACCACTGGAATCATGAGGCTAATAGACTGAAATGGTTGGGGCATATTGAAAGAATGTCAGATGACAGAGAAGTAAAAACTGTATACACCAGGGAGATGAATGGTCGTAGTCCATGAGAGAAACCAAGAAGATGGAGAGATAATATCCAGACAGACCTGCAAACACTTGGTGTAACCAACTGGAAAGAGAAGGCCAACCAGAGAGATGAATGGAGGCGGGTGATATGTGCAGCAATGAACCTCAAGGACTCAGAATGCTGAAAAAGAACAAGAAGAGGAGGCTTATAGTACATATGAGGCTAACCTCACATTTCTGTAGACTAGTTGGCACTGGATAGGTGAAGCGGTCCCTACCATGCCACAGCAAACCTCATAAGGTGTTATGGGATAGGAAAATATAAATAACTACAAACACGCTCATAGCAATCCCCAAACGATGTTACGGGACCCACACACAAACATAATAAGGAGAACAGGAAAACCTAGAGAAAGTAACTTAGTGGTCAAAGTATTATAAATGTGACATTAATTCTAGAACAGCAATACATAACAGCAACATCAACAACAACAGCATTACCAACATCAACAACAGCAACATTAACAATAATAACAGCAGCAGCATTACCACACACAAAAAACAGCAACACTAACAACTTCAATGATACTTACCAACACAGAGAATGTTGAAACAAAACCCCTGGGACACAGACTTGTTGACGAGCTGATCAGGAAGGCTGTCAAATCCCACATGACCTGCCAGATTCAGGGCTCGGAAGGCATTGTGCAGGGCCTGGGCAGGCGACTTGACAGAAGTATAAAATATGATCACTTAACCACTGTTACCAATGAATGAATGAATGAATGAATGAATGAATGAATGAATGAATGAATGAACGAACGAATGAATGATAAATTGACATTCCTGCACTGAGGTCATTTCCACACTTGCTCTATCTCCTTCCTCAGTAGCTAATGAACAATCGACATGCTAATAGTACCAGATGTAATCTGATTAACAGGCTGCCTAAGTTTCCCTACTGGTGATGAATATCTTCCAGAACCTCTACTTATATCTCCCCACTGGAATTAGCCTTTCAAGGTATGGATACTCTGTTCTGTTTCACTGTACACTTGATCTCAGACAGCCTTCACTACATCCGTTTTATCATAAGGCAGCCAGAGAAGTGGCAGCAGCCAATCTATCAGCCTGCTCATTACCCCACTAAACCAAATATCCTGGACAGAAAATCTATCGTATGCTCCTGACATGAATCTTATACAGCGATGATCTATGCATAGAATGCCAGTCTGATTTTCCAAAATATGCTCTTGAAGTTGTTAAAATTACAGCATATTAGCCTGTACTGCTCTCATGCCAACAAAAATCTGCATTACAGCCTCCACCTCCATTCTCACACTGGACGTTGTGACGTTATCTGCAATGCTCTCTGTTTTTAAACAGTGTCCATTCACTTTTGCAATATAACCCACCCACTTTTATTTCTCACTACAGACCCACATGTGTATATAATAATGTCACCATGGCATGAAAATTGATTGATCAGCCTCTGTTTCACCAGCTATTCATTACCGGCACCCTCAGTCAAGGATAACTTTCTCTCTCGTGTTTGTTGGGTGGCATTGTGACCCAGTGCTCACCTTGCACTGTCTCCTCAGTAACACAAACATCTCTGACCATGACCTCTGCCATCCATGAGCTATTTCTTTTCGGTTGACATCCTCTGGTATCTTCCTAAGCCTCAGGTAGGTGTTGCCTGTCCACTGCGACTTGAAGGCAAATTTTTCTGACTGTAATCTTTAACACCTGTATTTTTCCCACATGGAAAACAATGCAAGTATGTACCACATGCAAATGGTTGGCATATCTTGTGTACATCCCAAAATGACTCTCACGGCTTCATAGTGCATATGTCACAGCTTCTCTATATAGTTAGATCATTTGAACAATCCCGAAACATATTCCATCCTCAAAATAATCAGTAGGTTGTAGAGAAGAGCTATTCAATTATGTTTACTCTGGAACCAACATTTTGAACATAGGGATCGTCCAGGGCCAGAGGCCATTGTTTTGCAGGCGGCTTGACAGGCCTCTGCAGGCCAGTCTGTTCTGTGGGCTACGAGTTGAACAGCCTTGTTGTAAAGCATGCTCAGCATTCTCTGTTCCATGTCCGCTAATACTATTACTTTCAAAGCACTGAGTACTTTCCTTTAGTTTTAATACTACCTCTTCCATGTGACACTTGAAAGACAGGCTCCTGTCAAAACTTAATCCTAAGACTTTTAGTAAATTCTCTCTCTTGATGTTACTACCAATTATTTTGATGTTAGGAACCTTGTTTCTAACAATTATATTATTTAACAAATACCACAATACTGCTGCCTTACCTGGCTTGAAATGGACCACTGTCAAACAATTCATGATCACTCCTCTTCTATATAGCCTATTTTCTTTATTGCCCTGTTAAGGACAGTGCTTTACCCTAATCATCAACTTAGGAACTTTTCCCTCTTACATGTCTCCAACATGCAGTAGAAGGGCTTGTGTGCTCCAGTTCTTCTTCTTCTGCATTCCTTATTAAAAGGGCGGCTGACATGTGTTATAGTTTACAGCTAGGCTGTGGTGATATTTTTGCATTTCAGTCCAACACATCTTATTTCCCAAAACCCCTACTGTCTTTTAGGACATGTAATTTAGGGGGAAAAGGGGGGGGGGGGGTGTGGGTTAAGTCTATTATTGTTTCCCCCAAAATGGGGGCCTCAGAACCCACAAGAGAAAGTCTTTCTCAAAACATTTAGATTATCTTTTGAACAAAAGGCAGTCTAAACAAAAGCTCACTTGCAAAGACTAGTTAGTTAGTCCAGGTTCAATTTCTATTAGTGGTATGAATTCCACCGACCCTCCCCCACCCCACCCCCCTATTTAAAAGCTCTGGGAGTGAATGCAGAGTTTTTAATTAATAGAATACGATTTTGGAATTTTGATTCAATTTTCTCAGAAGGAAATGCACACCATCTCATTATGTCATGTAATAAGTATGTGAAGGCTAACATTTCACAACCCACCGACTTACATCTACCATGGGTGCCTTTTGCACAAACTGAAAATTAAGGTCTGTCACATCTAGGAAGAATTTTTTATTTAGGTTGAACTGATCTAATTTTATCTATGCTTCTGTGAAGTTTCACTTTTTCTTTTGTTAATTATTTCAAGTACCAGTACCAATTATCAATTATTTATTAGTAGTAAATAATAATTAATATTACCTCCTAACAAAACACACACACACACACACACACACACGTAACAAAGAATGTTAGCATCGTGTTAAATAAAGTAAATAAATTATTTAACAGGTTCTCTATGCTCGTTCCCTTCCCTTCGTTCGCGCACTGAGTCATCAGACCTTCCATCGGTTCTGGACAAGCCGACCTCCGGTACCGTCGTGAGTACAAGTACAACTTTATTCGAAACATTCACCGGTAAATATCTGCACTTTAATCAAGCTAAACACATACAAGGGTAAGTGGCGGTGTTTAAAACCGTGAGGACTTACCCTTTCAACTTCCGCTGATGACATTTTGGAAACGGAGATAAAACAATGAGAAAACACAAAAACGGTTGCTACAGTTTCTTAGACAAGGGAGCCGGGAAGCCAGCAGTCAGCAGCAGTGTTGCCACTTTTCTTTGACAAAAAATATCCAAAACGGTGTCAAAAAATATTTAAAAAGATCTAAATCTGCGTGGAAAAGATCTAGAAAAAACATCCAAATTGAAAAAGTCAAAAATTACAAAGCTTTTGTTATGACTTACCCTACATAATCATGTCCTCATCTTCACTGATGTCTGCCTCACAAGATCCACAGGATAAACTTAGCTTAGATAATGTAGTTGAAGCTTCAGATCCAAAATGACCCTGGTATGCTTTAGCTGTTCAAATTTCTTAATAAGTGGAACACTAGGCTTATTTCTCTAGTCTCATCAGGCCGAATTTTAATGGCACGATAGCATTTAAGAGGTCACATTTCATCCTGTTTTGTAGGTTAGATTTGATATAATTCCTAGCACTGAAAACTCTTTCTACGTCAGCATTTGAGTGGGGTAGAATCATGGCAGACATAGCACTTTAAAGAGCTTACAGAATGGACTGTATGATGAGGCATCTTTAAATTGTCTCACTTCACTCCAAAACGCTTTAGTTTCTGTTTTGTTTGTCCATTCAGCTAACTTTTTTTGGCTAACTGATATTCTGCTTCAGCGACACTATTATCAGTAGCCCCTAAAAATTTCATAACTTTACAATATTTAGGTATGTCCTTTATTGGCTGAAGTATGTTGCTCACAGAAAAAGGTGAAATATTTTTCATAACATCTAGATTTTCAGTAAGTCTGCTTCAGTTGCTTCAATATTGAGATAAGGAAATCTTGACAGTGTTTTCTTAAGTTGTTCTCTTCATTCTCTGTTACAGTCCTTTTGTTTTTAAATCATCAATTTTTTATTCGATTTAAAATCCAAGGTGTGGCTTAGGAGCCAAATAGCTCTCTATAGTGCAAGTGAGCAAATCAGCTTTAGAAGTTGGCAACACCAGTCTTTTACCGAGTGAAATAGCAAGGTGAGATCATCAAGTAATTTAACTTTATCAACAAGTTTACATTCGAACAGTTTATTAACTTTTTGCACTTCCATTAGAATAGGTTATAAAAAGAGAATGAATTACAAATTTGTTTCATCACTATAAATTCCATATAGTATTTCAGCTGTGTAGCACTTTTCACTTTGTCTTGTTATTTCAAAGTGTGTCTTCAACTTCAGCCATTGCTTCATAATTCTTTCAACAGCTGGTTAAATTGATAACCATCTAGTTTTGCAATCTGACAGAATTTTCGGTGGTGTGGAACCATCATTCAAGGCTGTATATAATGTATTGTATTGCTGTTGTCTGGCAAATGATTTGGAAAACCAGTAAAGTATTTCAGCAATAAGGTATTCCAAATACCTTGGTAAATATTTAGATGAAGCATGTGATAATGCTAGCTGCAATGAATGACGCATACATTTTATAAGTATTAACGATGGGTTTGCTTCCTTCAACTTGGCATAAACGCCATTGTTTATACCAACCATCACTGAGGCATTATCAGTACCAATTACAGCCAAATTCTTCAAGCCTAACTGTTTGCTGATTAAAAGGTCCTTCAGTTCCTAAACTATACTTTCTACACCACACTTTTCAAATTGAACTAGTCCAAGATCTTTAACAAATCGATCAAATGGTCACAGTTTGAAATTGCGCAGTGACAAATTAAAAACATTGCGACTGATACTTCAACTTTTGATGATTCATTTGTCAGTATAGTTCCGATAACAGATGTCAGCGGTGTAATATCTTTAAACGAAACTGCAGTTTCATGCTTTTTTAGTCTCTGCATGACTCTTTGAGTTTTGTATTTTCGCTTTAATTTCACACTTGCAGTACTTACAACAAGCTTTGGTCATATCCCCAGTTTTTAATTTTGTCATCAAGCAACCTTTCTTTCCAAATTTTTTGCTCATACTTTACTTTTGGCATGTTGAAAGGTTTTTTCAAAGTGAAAGTCACATAAGAAGGTGAGCAATTATTTTTTTAAATCACATGAAAAAGAAAGGCAAAGTCAGCACAGTGAGGATACGGTTGAAACAAAGTTAGCATTATTTACGCGCGTTTTTAATTAATCAGTACCGGGGCTGCCAGATATTTGTGCGTTGACCCCAGTGAGAGTTCAAATTTCAAGTAATGGCAGTTGTCACAATGTACGTGTCAGTCCAAAACAAAAATATTGTAGTAAATGTTTTACACAGTAATTATTAAATTGACAATGAAAGAAAAAAAAATCTATAAAATATCTAACTCCATATGAAAAGATTCTAGAAAAATATTTACGATCTAAACGTCAAAAACAGTATCTAAATGCAATGAAAAAGATCTAAATTTGGATATAAAAGATCCAAAGTGGCAACACTGGTCAGCAGACGAGTGGAGCTTTCTTGTGTTCAAGAGAAGAGAGTTACATTTTGCCTTATTAGGACTGGGGGTCTATTGTCCAGGTCTGAAGAGGTTAGCAGGTCCATGTGCGAGTAACTTGACGCTCATTAATTAAAGATATGTGTAGCATTGACGAACAAGGGTTCTCAGGCCCTTCGAGTGCTGTACACCGCCCCAAACAAAAATCTAAAACGGAACTCAGCTCTCCCCCTTTATTTTTTTGGAACACCACCACCCACCCCCTCAATTTAACTATAAAAAGAAGTTCTGTAAGTATTTGTTCATACATTTCATAATATTCTAAAAATATTATTATATACATACTATTCTTCTTTTTCTTTTTCTTTTTCTTCTTCTTCTCCTTCTTCTTCTTCTTCTTCTTCTTCTTCTTCGTCTTCTTCTTTTTCTACTACTACTACTACTACTACTACTACTACTACTACTACTACTACTACTACTACTACTACTACTACTACTACTACTACTACTACTACTACTACTACTACTACTACTACTACTACTACTACTACTACTACTACTACTACTACTACTACTACTAGTATTTCTTCTTCTTAGTGTTCACGTGCTGACTGATCCAGAGAAAAGTTCTAGTTGTTCGTCCACTCCTGTACTTTGGTCTTGTTCCATAACTCGAGTTTTGCGAGCACATTGGCTTGAAGGTCTGGCTTACGTATATGCAGACTATTGATTCATCGCATTTGAGGTGGTCGTGGATGCACTTCGATCGAAGGTAATCCCTAATTAGTCGCCTTTTATATGACATGCTTAATAGGGAAGCATTGGGTCTATTCTTGTTTCCTACCAAAACGAGGTCGCGAAATACAGATTGGGAGCATACACGCACACACACACACACACACACACACACACACACATATATATATATATATATATATATATATATATATATATATATATATATATATATATATATATATATATATATATATAAGACCAACCAATTGTGTGTATATCTATAGTACTGGGGGGGGGGGAGGGGGGGGGACTCTTTATATCCAATTATAACATCAATGGCTTGAACAGGACATCTTCATTTAGATTCCGCGACCGGGTGGCCCATTGGCTGGTCACTAGATGACTTTGTCTTTGTCTGTCTCCTTTTTTCGCATCAAGAATCTTTTTCATGGCTCCTGGTGGCGAGCAATGCTTTGACATTTTATGTGTCGCAAATAACTTATTCACAGTTATAACCGTAAGCTCAGAGATTCTGATTAAACGTGCCTTTTTTTTTTTTTTTTTTTTGTATATAGTTTGCAAAGCAACGGAACAGGATATCATTGTTAAAATTACTACTACTATTTATTATTTATTATTTAATATTTCAATGATATATATATATATATTAGGGCTTTACCGAATATTCGCTTCGTATTCGCTTAGGGACCGAATAGTGGACCTAATAACTATTCGGTATTCGGCCGAATAGTTGCGGTCGGGCCGAATACGAATAGTGGTTACCATACACCTGTTTCTGCATACACTGCGATGGACTGAAATAACTCTCTCATTAACACAATCGTTACTGTTGCCTTATGTCTGCCGTAGCCGAGGAAACTGGAACCGGTTGCGTGGTACAAACTGCATAAAAAAAGTGTGTGTGTGTCTGTGTGTGTGGGGGGGGGGAGAGAGAGAGAGAGCGAGAGATAGATAGATAGATAGACAGAGAGAGAGAGAGAGAGAGAGAGAGAGAGAGAGAGAGAGAGAGAGAGAGAGAGAGATCATGCATTTTTCGTTTTTTCAGGGTGTCTTCGCCCAAATCAAATTTGAAGATATTGCTAACGAGAATATAAAGGCGCGTTTAAATTACATGGAACGAACGGCCGAGTGAACGATGGTTTTGAAAGAGGCGAGAGCCCAAAGACAACTAATCATAGACATCAGAAGGAGACAGTCGTCATTTTTCGGCCATGTTATGAGAAGAGGGAAAATGGAACATGTGGTGACCACTGGAAAGATCTGTGGAAGGAGGGATAGAGGAAGACAACGATAGAAGATTCTTGACAGTCTTGTTGCATGGCATCTAGGTGTGTCAGCACACGAACGCATACATGCTGCAGGAGATCGCAAATTGTGGAGAGGCATGATCGACCACGCCAGCCGACAAGGCACCTGATGATGATGATACACTATTCGTATTCGTATTCGGTCGAATAGTTGGTCCCACTATTCGTATTCGGCCGAATAGTGAAAATCACTATTCGGTACAGCCCTAATATATATATATTTCCTTTCCAATAAGCGCTCGCGCGCATGCACACGCCAGAACGCGCGCGCTCACACACACACACACACACACAGCCACACACACACCCACACACGAACATGCGCATTCATCCCCCTGAGCGCTTTGTCCCTCTAGAATGTCTAAGGGAGCTCAGATCTCCCAGAACTACCCCCACCCCCTTTTTTTGCCCCCTCCCCCCTCCATGTTTTCTGTGTCTGCGCCCCTGATAAGTAGTGGTGTAAATTGCGACAAAAACATTACCAGCTGCCAGTTATAGAGTTTAACGTTGTT